CTATCTCTCTCTCATCTCTCTCTCTCTCTCATCTCCTCTCTCTCTCTCTCACATCTCTCTCTCTCTCTCTCTCTCTCTCTTTCTCTCTCTCCTCTCTCCTCTCTCTCCTCTCTCCTCTCTCTAAAACTAAGAGCTTTCTCAAGCTTGTCACCCTGGCCCTAGCCCTCCTCGCCGTTGCCGCCTCCGCTCAGGCTCCCAAGGCTCCCCTCCCCTCCTCGAGTTTGCTGTCGTCTCCCCTCCTCTATCTGTCCTCGTTGCCGTAGATCACCGCCGCTCCCCCGCCATAGATCGTCGCCGCAGAGTTTGATAGCTTTATTCAAGGAAACATGTGCTCCTAGGCATGCAAACAATTGGTATATGGATGACAAGTTCATGTGCATCTACACAAAGGCTTGACTTGAACTTATAGTTAACAAAGCATTCATACTGCAGAAGGAGTCTGCATGTGGAGATAGCTGCGGGCGTAATCTTGGGCCAAACTTTTCAGGCAGTAATGAAGAATACTCATGGTGTTTGATGAGAAAGATGATTGTAGCTAATACACATTCTCTTGCAAAATTTGAAGAAAGAATAACGTCTCTTGTGAACTTAGTATTATTAAATTTATGGATTTTCAGATGATGACAGAATCCAAGTTATTTACATTTATCTGTAATCATATTTTGGAAATTGATTAATTTCTTGGTGCTCGGTGGTTTTGTATTCTTTTACTTTTTGTAAACTTTTGGATGTTCCTTTCTTAGTTGTTTAATGCTTTTGTTGAGTGGCATTGCATGAATTTTCCTTTTGTTATTACATGTAGTCCTTTGTTTGCTGTAAAAGACTTACATCCTCTCTATACTGACTCCATGTTATGATTTTTAACTCCTAGCTATAAGAATTTCATAACATTGTTTGTATTGCAGTTCTAGCCCACACATTGCTAGTTCTAAACCCAACAAGAGTTTTTACATGCACACTTGTTAATTCTTGCTTCTGCGTTAGTTCTACCTTCTATTACCCTAGTTCTAGCTTGTATACAGCCAGTTCTAGCCCACACATTGCTAGTTCTAAACCAAAAAAGATTTTTTACATGCACACTTGTTAATTCTTGCTTCTGCGTTAGTTCTAGCTTTTATTACCCTAGTTCTAGCTTGTATACAGCCAGTTCTAGCCCACACCTTACTATTTCTAAACCCAACAATGGTTTTTACATGCACACTTGTTAATTCTTGCATCTGCGTTAGTTCTAGCTTGTATACAGTAAGTTCTAGCTTGTATACAGTAAGTTCTAGCCCACACCTTACTAGTTCTAAACCCAACAAGGGTTTTTTACATGCACACTTGTTAATTCTTGCTTCTGCGTTAGTTCGAGCTTCTATTACCCTAGTTCTAGCCCACACCTTGCTAGTTCTAAACCCAACAAGGGTTTTTTACATGCACACTTGTTAATTCTTACTTCTTCGTTAGTTCTAGCTTCTATTACCCTAGTTCTAGCTTGTATATAGCCAGTTCTAGCCCACACCTTACTAGTTCTAAACTCAGCCCGTGTTTTTTATATGCACACTTGTTAATTCTTGCTTCTGCGTTAGTTTTAGCTTATATTACCCTAGTTCTAGCTTGTATACAGCCAGTTCTAGCCTACACATTGCTAGTTCTAAACCTAACAATGGTTTTTTACATGCACACTTGTTAATTCTTATTTCTACGTTAGTTCTAGCTTCTATTATCCTAGTTCTAGCTTGTATACAGCCAGTTCTAGCCCACACCTTACTAGTTTTAAATCCAATAAGGGTTTTTTACATGCACACTTGTTAATTCTTTCTTCTGCGTTAGTTCTAGCTTGTATTACCCTAGTTCTAGCTTGTATACAACCAGTTCTAGCCCACACCTTGCTAGTTCTAAACCCGGTCTTCGTATTTTACCTTCACACTTGTTAATTCTTACTTATACGTTAGTTCTAGCTTCTATTACCCTAGTTCTAGCTTGTATACAACCAGTTCTAGCCTATACCTTGCTAGTTTTAAGTCCAACAATGGTTTTTTACATGCACACTTGTTAATTCTTGCTTCTACGTTAGTTCTAGCTTCTATTACACTAGTCCTAGCTTGTATACAGCCAGTTCTAGCCCACACCTTACTAGTTCTAAACCCAACAAGGTTTTTTTACATGCACACTTGTTAATTCTTGCTTCTGCGTTAGTTCTAGCTTCTATTACCCTAGTTCTAGCTTGTATACAGCCAGTTGTAGGCAATAAAAATTGCCTTTAAATACTTATCAGAGAAGTTTAGAACAAAACTGCTAAAACCTCGTCCGAAATAGCAAAAAGGGGAAAAACGCTAATAAAAAGGGGAAAACACAGATATCTCCCAAACCGTAAGGAATTTGGCGAATTCGTCGAGATAGGCGATTTTCATATATAATTCGTCCAATTCCGACTTACGGTTTGAAAGTTACGGCCTATTCTTCGATCCATGCTCAGGAGCTCGCCTGCAGCTTGAATTTCGCCTGCACGACCAAGACCCAAGTCTGCCTGCACACCTGAGATCGCCTACAGACCCAGCTCGCCTACAGACCCAAGTCTGCCTACAGTCACAAGCTCGTCTGCAGACCCAGCTCGCCTGCAGACCCAAGTCTGCCTGTAGTCCCAAGCTCGCCTGCAGACTCAGCTCGCCTGCAAGCTCGCCTGCAGATCTGCAGACCCAAGTCTGCCTGCAGTCCCAAGCTCGCCTGCAGACCCAGCTCGCCTGCAAGCTCGCCTGAAGACCTGCAGACCCAAGTCTGCCTGCAGTCCCAAGCTCGCCTGCAGACCTAAGCTGCAAACTCGCCAGCTTACTGTCAACTGCCCACCTGGAGTATGGGAACAGTTACATCAGTGGTCAAATCCCACAAATCAAGGGAGAAAGCATGGCGCTCCTTACCTAGCAAGAATAGGGCGGCTGACACGACCCCCTAAGTGGTCACATCCCACAGCTAGGGCGGCTGACAGGACCCCCTAAGTGGTCACATCCCACAGCTAGGGCAGCTGGCTCCCTCACCTCTATTAGTGGTCAAATCCCATGAATCAAGGGATGGCACATGCCATCCATTGCCTATTAAAACCCATCTTCAGCCAGCATGAAAGGGGGGATTGGCTGTTGCATATTCTGCTGGCTAATCTCCCAAAGGTTGAACCTGAACTTTTGCCAAAGGCTCCCTTATTTGAGAACTGAAGCTCCGACAGCAACTTCGATCGGATCGTCCAAGGGAAGCAGACTCGGCACGAGCACCGAGCGAGGCGTCCTATCGCCACCGAGCAACCCACGTTAAACAAGGAGGGCATTCCCTCCGCTTCTGTTGTAAATATTTGATTATTAGTTTGTAATAAGCCGTTCTTATCAATACAAATGAAGTTTCCTATTTTCGGGAGATCAAAATTTACACCTACACCAGTTTTAACCCACACCTTGCTAGTTCTAAACCCAACAAGGGTTTTTACATGCACACTTGTTAATTCTTGCTTTTGCATTAGTTCTAGCTTCTATTACCCTAGTTCTAGCTTGTATACAGCCAGTTCTAGCCCACACCTTGCTATTCTAAACCCAACAAGGGTTTTTTACATGCACACTTATTAATTCTTGCTTCTGCGTTAGTTCTAGCTTTTATTACCCTAGTTCTAGCTTGTATACAGCCAGTTCTAGCCCACACCTTGCTAGTTCTAAACCCAACAAGGGTTTTTTACATGCACACTTGTTAATTCTTGCTTCTGCGTTAGTTCTAGCTTCTATTATCCTAGTTCTAGCTTGTATACAGCTTCTAGCTTGTATACAGTCAGTTCTAGCCCACACCTTGCTAGTTCTAAACCCAACAAGGGTTTTTACATGCACATTTGTTAATTCTTGCTTCTGCGTTAGTTCTAGCTTCTATTACCCTAGTTCTAGCTTGTATACAGTCAGTTCTAGCCCACACATTGCTAGTTCTAAACCCAACAAGGGTTTTTTACATGCACACTTGTTAATTCTTACTTCTGCGTTAGTTCTAGCTTCTATTACGCTAGTTCTAGCTTGTATACAGCCAGTTCTAGCCCACACCTTGCTAGTTCTAAACCAAGCCCACGTTTTTTACCTTCACACTTATTAATTCATGCTTCTACTTAGTTCTAGCTTCTATTATCCTAGTTCTAGCTTGTATACAGCCAGTTCTAGCCCACACCTTGCTAGTTCTAAACCCAACAATGATTTTTTACATGCACACTTGTTAATTCTTACTTCTGCGTTAGTTTTAGCTTGTATTACCCTAGTTCTAGCTTGTATACAACCAGTTCTAGCCCACACATTGCTAGTTCTAAACCCAACAAGGGCTTTTTACATGCACACTTGTTAATTCTTACTTCTGCGTTAGTTCTATCTTGTATTACCCTAGTTCTAGCTTGTATACAACCAGTTCTAGCCTACACATTGCTAGTTCTAAACCCGACCTTCGTATTTTACCTTCACACTTGTTAATTCTTGCTTCTACGTTAGTTCTAGCTTCTATTACCCTAGTTCTAGCTTGTATACAGCTAGTTCTAGCCCACACCTTGTTAGTTCTAAACCCAGCCTTCGTATTTTACCTTCACACTTGAGAATAAACTACAGAAATTTCTCAGAGCCTTCACAACTACTTAACAGGGCCATGTTCCTTTAAATTTTAATTAAAAAAAAACAATGTGACAGACCAGAAGCATGAACAAGAAAAATATTTGAAACATAAAGGAGCAAAATCCATAGCTAAGCAAGGATTCCAAATTTTCCTTACCACAGTGTTCGAATTCATGAAAGTTTGACATGTAAGTAGAAAATCTATGTAGGCCAAGAATGCATGCGCAAACAAGAAAAACTTCCAACTTGCACTTCCACAGAGAAAACTGAGCATAGATGACAACTGAGACAGACTACATACATACAACATCATCAAAATAAAAGAGGGGGGAAATTTGATTTGCTGAAACTCGAACATGTTAGTGTGTCAAAATATTATGGATGAACAAGTAAAATTATATCCTATACATGACTAAGCTTCAGTAAGATAGATAAAACTTCCTTCATGATTGGCCGCTCCTCTGCATTGAATCGGGTACATGATAAGGCTAACTCTAGGACTTTAGCAACCTTGCCTCCCTGTGTTGCAGTCGGAATGTCCATTGCATCGTCCACAATGCTAAGCACAACATCTACTCCACCTTGAAAGGATTTCTCCACAAACTCTTGCAATGAGATATGCTCTCCATCATGTTCAATAGTCCCAGTTAGCCTTATTCTGGTGAAAAGCTCCATCATAACTATACCGAAGCTGAAGACGTCAACCTTTGTGGTCACATTCCTCATGTATGCAAATTCTTTAACATAGAAAACACATCGATCAGTGACTGTTAAATATCCCTTTTAACTATACTCTGTTCGTGAAAGTGCTAGAGTGGACTCGGTATATGCATCAATCGCTATGAGTATCATTGCTTACAAGGTCATTGGATCCTTTTCAATAGAGTCGTTAGTGTTAATGGCGAAGAAAATACATCTTATGTACCAATCTATCAAACCTTAAGCTATACTTAACATCTTCATGAAATAATATCTTTGTTAACAAGTTTAGATGACATTCTCCAATAAAAGTTGTTCCACTTGTAGTCGTTGTTGTTGTGGTTATCCTTAACCTTGGATATGAGCTAATTTACTTCCACCTGTTGAACTTTGTTGCATATAATTTATTCTTTTATTATCTAGTTATTTATTTTAATTCCAAATCGGCTTAGCTGTTCATGTATTATGTGAGCTATGTTTCACAGTTATCTAGTTATTTATTTTAATTCCAAATCGGCTTAGCTGTTCATGTATTATGTGAGCTATGTTTCACAAAACAATAGGAATAACTAATTTTCTCCTAAAATTGTGATAATTAGTTAATATGCATAATTAAATAATATCAAACCTCAGGCCCTCGCTTTTCGAGCGTTTCCCTCAAGCTCTGCGGCGACGATCTACGGCGGGGGAGCGGCGGCGATCTACGGCGACGAGGACGGGTGGAGGAGGGGAGGCGGCGACGAACTCGAGAAGGGGAGCCTTGGGGGCCTGAGCGGAGGCGACAACGACGAGGAGGGCGAGGGCCAGGGTGATGAGCTTGAGAAAGCTCTTAGTTTTAGAGAGAGAGAGAGAGAGAGAGAGAGAGAGAGAGAGAGAGAGAGAGAGAGAGAGATGAGAGAGAGAGAGAGAGAGAGTTGATGAGAGAGAGAGAGAGGATATGAGTGCTGGGTCTGAGGGATTAGGGAGAGAGGATAAGGATAATTTGGGGATTTTTACTTAGCTGACATGTAATAATTGATAAATAAGGCTGCAGTATAAAGTGTCACACATCAAGGGGCTGATTCACATGGGGAAAAATATGAGGGGCCTCGTCACATGAAGTTTCTGCTTTTGGGGCACAGACACATTTTTCCTAAATTAAAAAATATA